AAACCCCGAACCCCTAAACCCCGAACCCCCAAACCCCTAAACCATACCCGGGTGTTGTCTCATAAGTGCGAGCGAGGCCTTCCTGTTCACGTCGCAGCCTCTGAGGTCAATCCTATGATGCTCGAGGTTTAGGGTTTAGGGCTTTAGGGGTGTTGGGTTTAGGGATTTAGGGTTTATTTAGGGTTTAGGGGTTTAGGGGTTTAGGGTTTAGGGGTTTAGGGTTTAGGGCTCGATCCCCCCATTTCCATAAGAGGTCGCGCGCGCGCGCCCGGGGGGCGGGGGGCGACAATGGCCTGAAGTAGAGGCTGCCATGTCAATATGTTTGTGCTTCCCGTTGTTAGTGAAGTCTACGGTCGATCCTGCCAATGTCTTTTTGAAGTCTTTCGCAGTAATTAACTAGCCAACTACAATCAGTTGGGTACCTTGTGTGACGGATCCTGACAGGAAGTTCTGGATGCATTGGCACAGTACCCCCAGGACGAGCCAAAGCGAAAAATTGAACAAGCCCCCTCGCATTCCCTATTCCCTTTTTCACAGGCGAGCTCACCCTAAACCTTAAACCACTACAGGTGTAGCGCTGAAGCTTGGGTATCAAACCAAGAAGGCTCCTTTTTACAGGATTCTCGTTTAGGGGTTCCTGTAAGGGTTTAGAGTTTAGGGTTTGGGGTTTAGGGTTCAGGGGTGCCTGTAAGGGTTCTCGTAAGGGTTCCTCGAAGGGCCCAAATACCAGGGTTTGAGGGTTCCGATTTTTTTCTCCGAATGGTTTCTGGTACCCAGAACCCGAATACTGGAGCACTTGGACCCTGCTCTTAGGGGTGCTTTCAAATGATTCTTAATTTCGGGTTAGTATAATTCCTGAGAAACAGCTAGAATTATAGTCGTTGCAAGCGTCTCGTACGTAGACCCTGAACCCTAAAAAGCCCTAAAAACTTAAACCAAACCCTACACCACGAATCCTAAAACCCTCTGAAAAAGCTCAGATTTAGGGTCTAAACCCGAAACACTAAAAACTAAACCCTAACCCCAAACCCCTAAACCCTGAAAACTAAACCCTAGCCACAAACCCCTAAACCCTTAAAAACTAAACCCTAACCTCTAGCCCCTCTAAACCCTAAAAACTACCCCCTAACCCCTAAACCCTGAACCCTAGAAACTCAGCCCTAAACCTAGAAATCCTCAGGTTTTGGCTCGGTCCTGACTGCATGTGCAGGCCCGACACAGCTCACCGGGTTTAGGCGCTTTAGGGTTTAGGGGTTTAGGGGTTTAGGGGTTTAGGGTTCAGGGGTTTAGGGTTTATGGGTTTAGGGTTTAGGGTTAAGGTTTAGGGTTTAGGGGTTTAGGGGTCTAATATGATCTAAGGGTTTAGGGGTTTAGGGTTCGGGGGCTTTCCTGGGGGTCCATGGATTTGGAGCTCTTGGCTTTAAAGCCTTCGGCTTCAAGAGGGTTTAGGGCTTTAGGGTTTTGGCGTTTCAGGCCTTCGGGTTTGGGTGTCTTTAGGGGTTAAGGGTTTAGCTGTTCGGGGTTTAGGGGTTTAGGGCAACATTGCAACATGACATCCCGAACCCTCGACCTTGCACAATTGCGGCAGCTTGTTGAGAGTTTGATTCAACACTAAACCCCCAAAGCCCTAAACCCTAAACCCTACGGCCCTAAACGGCTAAAAGCCCCAAACCCCTAAAGCCCTAAACCCTAAACCCTTGTCTGTTTTGATCTTTAAGCTTCCCCGTCGGAATTTAGGAGTCGGAGTTTGGCGTCATCTGGGCATCAGGCTTTATAGGTCAGGATAGCTCCGGTTCCAACGCACCTAGTACATGTGGGCTCTGATAGTGCCGGTTCAGTAAACCCTATAAACCCTAAACCCCTAAATCCCTGAACCCTTAAGCCCAAAACCATAAACCCTTAAGCCCTAAACCCTAAACCCCAAACCCCAAACCCCGCAGCCCCAGCCACTGAGGCCGCTATGTTACTGAGGCCCAAGGTGTTTCAAGGCTGAAAAGCTTGAGGTGGGGCTGTGCGGGGATTCAGGCTCTTGCTCTGCAGGGTGCACAAGCATAATATAGTTGCCTAATAACTACCAGGGGAGTTACTAACAAGGAATAACACATCCCAAAACCGCTATTCTAATTATTAAGTTTTAGGGCCCCTATAGTACGTGATGCTACGGACCCGTCCGTCTCTCTGTCTGTCTGTCTGCTTGCCTGCTTGCTTGCCTGCCTGCCTGCCTGGCTGTCTGTGTGTCTGTCTGTCTCTCTGGTTGTTTGTCTCGTGGTCCCTCCCTCTCTCTCTCTCTTTCTCTCTCTCTCTCTCTCTCTCTCTCTCTCTCTCTCCCTCTCTCTCTATATATATATATACACATCCATCTACCTCTATGTTTTTGAACCTAGCATAAAAGCCGCATCACCTATCTATCTGTCTATCTATCTATCTATCTAACTAACTATCTACCTAACTACCTAGCTACCCACCTACCTATTTATCTACTTATCTATCCATCTATCTGTCTATCTGTCTATCTATCTATCTACCTATCTTTCTACCTACCTATCGATCTGCCTGTCTATCTATTTTATCTATCTGTTCATGTACTTACAGGTCTACCTATTGGTCTATCGATCGATCTATCGATCTATCTGCTTTGCATTGCCTGTATATGCACACTGTATCTGTATCCTTCTACATACCCTTAAATCCTCGAGCCCTAAACCCTACAGCCTTAACGGCAGCGATGTGGATGGAAAAGAGCCCCTCGTAAAGAAAAGCAGATTGAAGCCTCAAACACGCAACTCAAACTCCAACCAGGCCCAAAAAAGACAGTATATGAAGCCAAAAAGCTTAAAGTTCTCCCATTGGCTATCTAAGCAAAAGAGAAGGCTGCCACTGGCCGTTGGTCCTGGATCTCCTATCTGCAATGCAGCAAATGGATATCAACCCCGACGTCGTCGGCTGCAATGCGGATCCTCGACGTGACCCAGAGTTCTCAGTTTCTTAGGAAGGGTTCCTTTTGATGGTGCCTTCCGGGAAAGGGGCTTATCCCTGAACTCTACCCTAGACCCTGGGCCTTAGGCCCTCGACCCTACACCTTGAGCCCGAATCCAATAAACAAAACGCAATTTCCCAAAACTCAAAGCCTTGAGCCCAACCCAAGCAAAAATACCCGAAACCCTAAAACTTGAACCCGAACCCAACAAAGACCCTCCTAAACCCCCCTTGGAAACCGAACCCAGCCAAAAAAAGACGAAGCAAACCCCCCAAAACCCGAAACCCCCAAACCCCAAAACCCTAAACCCTAAACCCTGAACCCAACCCCCCCCCTCCAACAAAAAAAAACACGGAGCCCCAGGCCATTTCGGCTTGGGACCGCAGCGGCCGCTGGGCGGAGGCCAGGGCTTGTCTTCGGATTTAGGGTTTAGGGTTTAGGGGTTTAGGGCTTCGGGGTTTAGGGGTTTAGAGTTT